TTGGTTCATGAATCGGATAATAATATCAACTAGACAAAATGAAAAAACTACAACTTGATAACAAAAGAAACATAATGAAAACAACTTGAACATACTAAAACAAAAGACTTGGTAATAAAACAAGACTGAAAATACAATCACAACACAAGAGGACAAAAGGACACAAGAGGACAAAGGGAATCTTCTGGGAGTGCACTCCACAACTACAACACAATGTTTGGCCCACCCACCACTAAAGGCTATCATCACTACTCCATCTAAATTCTATAAATGGTACTCCCATAATGTTGTTTCTGGCAGAAGAGCAAGGTTTTACATTTTTCTCTCAAAATGGAGATGTTGCCCACCAATAGGCTCCAAGACTAGATAACCACTTTGGATGGCTCGGAAAAGATGAACTTTTGTAGTTTCGGCCTAAATGCTCTTTTTTCGTTGAGCCGCACTTCACTTTGCTTTCCATTTCTCCGTGCCGCTGCTCGGTGCTGGAATCCAATCACACATATATTTCGTGTCGGTTCACAAGAGATGTGTCCGGCACTCGAAGAATTTCAAGCATTGACGGAATCTCAATGTGATAAAGAAATCATGCTTTAACCCTTTTTTGGCCATGCTCAATCTTTAGGATGAATGTGTGGGCTTACCTTACATGAAGCTCGATCCTTGGTTCATAATGGGGAACTAGATATTCCAGATTTGATTCGTCGGTTTTTCATCACCGGTGACAAAGACGACCTCCTTTGGCGAGTTTATCGTTAGCATGCCCTTTGCTTATGCTTACTCGCACAATTCCTTCTTGCCCCTAGTCACGGTGGAGTTAGCATTAAACTGATTGAAGTAGCCCAATGCCTTAAGGAGGGCAAGAGTTGTATGGGCTTAGTGCTGGTTAAGACTTTGACGGGCTTAGATGCTTTTCAATGGGGAGAGACTACTCGATTTGCGCGGAGTCCATTACTTCTCTAGGTATTGTTTCCCACCCTCCTTATTTATGATCCTTACATCATTCGGCATTCAATCTCTTTTCTTTTTTTTTTCTCTCAAAACCCTTTTCTTACTTTTCTCTCAACGTACATCTCTCTATTCTTTTATCTCTCTTATTTTTCATCACTTTCCCCAGATATGGTTTATAGATAAGCTGAAAGAGGTGGATCCTTGCCCCGAGTACTCGGCCAGGACTTAATTTCTTCGTCTATAGCTAGTGGAGTTCCCCTCAGAGGGAATGTGGTGTGATTGGATGCACAGCAGATCTGCGGCTGACATTGCTTGGCGTAGCCCCTAGCTTAACTTGGCTAAGATGAGTTACAGCATGTCCCGGCAACTAGGTATATAGTTGATTGGCCTTACACACTGTGTATTCTATTTTCCATTCAGGTTCAAACGCCAGTTTAGACATGATCAGATTTGTCCAGCTGAAGGGATAAAGTACCCAACTTCATTTCCCGTTCGTGGTTCGTACTTGCCTCGGTACCTCAGTGCTTGGAATACGAGAGAATTTATGGCCCCTACCTTTACTTTCAGTTCCATCCTTCCTGACGAATACTTGGTTAGGCTTGAGGATGAGGAACAGATTAGGCCGACCTCGGTTACAAAAACTTCCACAGGCACGAAAAAGAGACGAAGAACTGACACTTGACTCATCTATGACCCTAGTTTATTGCTTTGTCTTTTCTTTTCAAGTTTTTATGTAAAATCAACTTTCGTTTGGAGAATGTACTTGTGACAAATCAATAAAATTAAAGTGAGTATTTAAAAGTTTCCTTTTGTGTTGTAAACGGTAAAGTTTTGAGAAAAAAAACAAAAATTGAATTAAAACTTTTCAAAATAATTTTTTTTTCTTTTTTTTTTCCGGAAATGGTCACCACCGGATACATACGGAATTAATCCTAAGGCTGTACAGCCCCAAATCAGAAGATCATAACCAACTCGACAAATGGTGGAGAATGACGGATTGATTAAACCAGATGAACATGACAGTTGGGTTGAAAAATAGTGATGGCCGAACTTCGGGATGAAGTTGCCTACGTATCCCAAAGATGAGAATCAGGCCTTACATAGTTCGGAGAGGGTTCACTCGAGTATTTATTCTCTCCTTTTGCGCTCTAACTTTTGCCAAGGTTTCCCTTTTGGGTTTTTGGCCTTGCGAGCTCAATTTTTCTTTATTTCTAATTTATTTTATTTTATTTTATTTTTTTATGCTCTAACTTCTGCCTAGGTCGCCCTTTCGGGTTTTCGGCCTTTCAAGCCTCTCAGGGGTAATACTTCTTCAACTTGTCCATGTTAATCGGTTGAGAAAACTCCAGGCCATCCAAATCCATAAAAAATAATTGCTCTCCCAGACCAGATTGACTTGATGATATAAGGACCAATCCAATTGGGTATGAACTTGCCCCTAGGGTCGTGGATAGGGGCTCGGTTTCTTTTAGCACCATGTCTCCTACTTTGAGATTTCTGGATTTGACTTTCTTGTTAAAAGCCCTCACAATTCTACGCTGGTAACCTTGGATATGATACAATGCCTTCAACCTTCTCTCGTCAAATAACATCAATTCTTCAAATCTATTTTGTTGCTAGTCCACCTCTGCTATCTGACACTTAACCATAATTCTTAGCGACGGTACTTCAATCTCGATTGGTAAAATGACTTCCATCCCATGAACAAGAGAATAAGGGGTTGCTCCTGTAGATGTTCGAATTGACGTTCTGTAACCCCAGAGTGCGAATGGAAGTTTCTCCAGCCAGTCTTTGCAGATTTTAACCATTTTCTGCACAATTCTCTTGATGTTTTTGTCTGTAGCCTCAACAGCTCCATTGGTCTGCGGCCTGTACGTTGATGACTTACGGAAAGCTACGTTATATTTCTCAAGCAGGTCTATCACCTCTTTCTTGAAATGTGAGTCATTATCTGAGGTGATCTTGTTAGGCACCTTATACTGACAGATGATGTTGTTCTTGATGTACTTAGCCACATGCGACGCCTTTAGAACGGCATAGGATTGGGTCTCTACCCACTTTGTGAAGTAGTCGATTGCTACCAAAATGAACTCATGCCCATTTGACCCCTTTGGCGTGACTGCACCGATAACATCAATTCCCCAGACTGAGAAAGGCCATGGTGAAGTCATATTGTAGAGTTTCGATGGCAGAATGTCCATGCGATTGGCATGGATCTGACATTTGTCGCGTCGCTGTACAAAGCCAATACAGTTCTCCTCCATGGTTGACCAATAGTAGCCTTGTCTAAGGATTTTCCAAGCTAGCATCACACCATTCATGTGAGCTCCGCACTCTCCTCCGTGGATAGCTTCCATAAGACGCCTTGATTCTCCTTCCTCAATACACAATTTATGTATTCCCAGATGGCCTCTTTTGTACAACTTGTTTCCGCAGATGACGAATTTGATGGCCAGATGCCGTATTCACCTTTTGTCCTTGGCACTTGCCCCTGGTGGGTACGCCTCTTTGTCCAGGAAACTCCAGATGTCGTAATACAAGGGGTTCGTGTCTTGAACCTCATCTATCATGATGATGGTCTCATACGCCGGTGCATACTTTTGTTCAATGATGATCGGGCACATCTTCACTCCAAGCGGAATGTCCACCATGGAGGATAAAGTTGCCAATGCATCAGCAAATCGGTTGTTGTCTATGAGCAAATGCGTGAATGTCAATTTCTTAAACCTCGAAATTAACACATCCAGGGCCTGATGATAAACCTTCATTTTCTCTTCCTTAACCTGCCAATCTCCGTTAGCTTAAGACACAACCAAATTCGAATCCCAATAACATCCAATCTTATTGCCCCTATTTCTAGGGCAGCTTCCAAACCAGCAATACATGCTTCATATTCTGCTTCATTGTTGGATACTTTAAACCGGAGTTTGAAGGCTAGAGGTATGTGTGAATCATCGGGTGCTATGAGCAACACACCGATCCCATAACCATGCTGATTAGACGCTCCGTCAAAGTACATTGTCCATGGTTCCTCTTCTATCTACATGATGTCTTCATCAAGGAATAGATACTCCACTGCTTCATCATCTCCTTCTACTGGGTGATCCGCCAGAAATTCCGCTACAACTCTCCCTTTGACTGATTTGCATGTGATATACTTGAGGTCAAACTCAGAGAGAAAAAGCAACCAACGAGCTAGCTTACCCGTAAATGCTGGTTTCTCAGAGAGATATTTGATGGAATCTAAGCTCAAAACCAGAATTACAGAATGAGCTAACAGGTAGTGTCTCAACTTCCTCGTTACGCAAACCAAAGCTAAGGAAGCTTTCTCGAGAGGAGTGTAACGAGTTTCATATTCTAGCATCTTCTTGCTTAGATAATAGATGGCCTTCTACACCTTCACTTCTGATTCTTGCACTAGCATCCACCCCATGGTTGAATTTGTTACTGATAAATACAAGATCAGTGGTTTCCCCGGTTCTGGTGGCGACAATACAGGAGGATTCTGAAGGTACTGCTTAACCTGCTCGAAAGTGAACTGACACTGATCATTCCATTGGAATTTCTTTCCTTTCTTCAATAGACCAAACAGTGGTTCACAAGTCAAGGTTAATTTTGAGATAAACCGTCTTATGAATTGCACCTTACCCAGAAAGCCGCGCACCTCCTTTTCAGTCCTTGGTGGTGGCATTTCTACTATGGCCTTGATTTTGGAGGGATCTACTTCAATTCCCCTTTGTGTAATCAGAAATCCCAACATTTTTCCTACAGTTACCCCGAAGGTGCTTTTCTGTGGGTTTAACCTCAGTCTATACTCCTTGATCCACTCAAAGAATTTTTCCAGTGCGGTGTAGTGACCTCTTCGCTCTTTAGACTTGACAATCATATCGTCCACATGCATCTCAACCTTCTTGTGGATCATGTCGTGCAAAATGGTGGTTGCGGCCCACTGATATGTAGCCTCGGCATTTTTCAGTCTAAAAGGCATAACTCTATAACAGTAGGTACCCCACGGCATGGTGAAAGCAGTTTTCTCTCTGTCCTCCGGTGCCATCGAAATCTGATTATACCTGGAAAACCCATCCATGAATAAAAGCAAAGCATGGCCAGCTGTGAAGTCTACCAGTTCATCGATGTGTGGCAATGGAAAATCATCTTTCGGACTTGCTCTATTTAGATTTCAGAAGTCGATGCAGACCCTAATTCTGCCATCCTTCTTTGGAACCGGAATGATATTAGCCAACCAAGTCGGGTATTCAGATGCCATCAAGAAACTTGCATCAATCTATTTGCCGACCTCCTCTTTGATCTTTAATGCCCAATCTGGGCAAACTCTACGCAGTTTCTGTTTGACTGGTCGGGTCTTGGAATTAAAAGGGATCCGGTGCTGTACAATCTCAGGATCTATTCCAGGCATGTCTTCATAGGACCACGCGAAAACATCTTTGAAATCTTTTAATAAAGCGATTAAGTGCTCGCGTTCTTTCGAAGACAATGTAGATCCGATCTGGACCAAATGAGGATCCTCCTCAGTACCCACATTAATTGCAATGATTTCATCTGTGCAGGGCTTAACGCGCCTCTCCTCCTCTTAGTCAACCAAATTTTTCAAAGCCTGAGGAATTTCTTCCTCTTTGTTTAAGTCAAAATTTTGAAAATCAAGATCAGTGCAACAAACTAAAGGCACAGAGAAGTAAACAAACTCTACGACATTCCCATTAGTAAAGTCTAGGTCCTCGGTTACAGTTGACTCAAAAGAAAAACTAAAAGAAGACTTTAACAGTACTTTGGCACGCGGGTTACCACTCCTGGAAATACCAGACTCAGAAGAACTCGAATCTGACTCTGACTCTACAGACTCGATGGAATCAGATTCGAACTTATTATCCGATTCAGAACTACTGATGATGCCCTTTTCAATTTTTAGATTAGGTGTGGAGCCTCAGATGCATCCACAATAAGTTTAGAGAAATTCGCTTCTGGTTTATCCCCGATCATTGAGATAATAAAACTATCCCCCAAGTTGTTAGACTCAGTTCCGACAGTAGAATTTGCTAGTAGGTCAGTCAGTGTTTTTCCCAACAGCTCTTCTTTTTCAACGTTCACAGTTACAGTTGTAGACACCCCATTTTTTACCATCCTCAAGACTTGGACGTCATTGTTTGAACACTCGATGATCATCCATGTTCGTGTTCGTTTTGAGTTCCCGGAGGTCTCGGCCACGCGCCTTGCCTCAGGATCTCTTAACTTGCTTGTTCTGTGCTTGGTTGTGGACCAAGAACTTGTTTGTTTTTGCTTCTGAGGGCAGAGAATGGCTTGTTGGTCATCTCCACACCTCACCGGCCTTGGCTTGAGGCCACCAGCCGTGTTTTGTTGATACCGGCCATTGGTGGTGGCCGGTCGGCATTATTTTTGGTCAGCCAGCCGTTTGTTTGGTCAATCGGCCATATTTTCTGGCTGGGGCTTCTTTTTTGCCTTTTTCAGGCATTGTGCATGCCAGCTGTGCCAGCTGGAGCACACATACCTGTCTTCCATACACGTGTATAGAGGATTTGCACCCTTTGCACCCTTTTGCTCTAGCTTCTTAAGGAAGCTTGAACCCTTTGCTCTAGCGTCCTCAAGAAGCTTGAACCTTTGCCTTAGTTTCCCTAAGAAGCTTGAACCTTTTTTTTAGCTTCTTGAGGAAGCTTGACCCCTTTGTCTTAGCTTCTCCAAGAAGCTTAGGCCCTTTTTGTTCTATAAAAGAGGGCCTCCCTTCTCCTTTAGAGGGGTTGGAGCAAATCAAAGGTATATATCAGAGATATATATCACATATATATCACTCCCTCTCTATATCTTCCTCTCTCTCTCTCCATTTGTGTGTGGAATAGTGTTTAAAAGGTGCTTTTGTTCTTAGTTTTGCACCAAAACACCTAGTGTTGCACTATACTTTGGTTACTAAGGTGTTGAGGGACTGGTTTCAGAGCTTTTAGGTTGGTTTTGATCAAAGGAAGGGGCTGGGTTGGTGTTCTTGAAGTGCTCTTCAAGGGTGAGCACTATTTGCTTTATATTCCCCATTTTTGTACAAGCTTTTAACCTATCTTGCATGCTGTTTTAAGCTTAGTGTATAACTAATAAAAGTTCTGTATTTTCATGTTTAAGATGTTTGTTTAAGGTTGCTTTTGGGTTGTGGGTTGTCTACCCCCCTCTTAGGGCTTGTTTGGCCTTTTTTTGTACCTTTCTTGTTGAGCTTTGGTACCTTCGTGTATTGGCCTTCTCACCACTGAAATCCAGAGGATTTTCAGTGGTGAAGAAGTGGTTTTGAGGTCTTGTATAGGGGAGGGACACGCCTCTCCCTTTGAGTCTCCTTTGCTTACATTTAGGGCTCACCATAGTAGCATGTTGGCATAGCTTTGTTTGGCTTTATTTCAGAGGGCTTTTGGTGTTTTTTGATCATATTATACCTTTGTTTTTGGTCAGACTGTTAGTCTATTGCATGCATAATACATTTGCCTTGCATTCCTCTATTTTGCCTAGAAATGCATCATGCATTTAGACCACCATGCTTGCATGTTTTGACTTAGCTTCGTAAAGTTTTTAGTCATGTTTTACCATGTTTAAGCTCTGATTGGTGTCGATTTGGTCATGCTTGCCATGCTTTGTATAGCCACCTTGCATTTTGGCTTGTTAGCCTTGGGTGTGTGAGTCTTGAGCATGCTTCATTTGGGTCATTTCAGTGATTTGGAATCACTTCTCATGCCATTTCAGTCCATTTTCCATGCTCGTATGCTTGCATTTAACACCCTTTCAATGCTTTGAAGAGTTGTTGTCTTATACTCCATGTTTAGGCCATTATGCATGCCTCTTTGTTTCAGTCTTCGAGCTGCCATATCAGTGGGTTTTGGGGCTTACTTTGACTTGTTTTAACTCTGACTTCATTAGTCTAAGTCATGCCATGTTCATTTATAAGAGGTGTAGTACATTTGCCCTTTTAGGCCTTGTATGCGTTTTGTTTTGTGTCTTTCTTCATAGCATGTTTTGGCTTTATTCCATATGAGTTTTAGCTTCATTTTGGTCTGCCTCGGAACTGTTTTGGGTCGCCTCGACCATTTGGGGCTTGGTTGACATAGTCATGGTTTAAATCACGTAGCTAGCTTTGAGCTTTAACTCCATTAACATGCCATGTTTGCATTGTGTAGCCGATTTGGCGTCATTCTTCATGTGATTTCAGAGTTTATTTGCAATGCCATATCCTCATATTTATCACATCTTGCTCATGTTTGAAGCTTGTGCATCGTGGCCTAAATTGATGGACCAACATGTGTGCATGTTTATCTTGCATTTTGGTGCCTTAATTTTGGTATTTTGGCCACTGTTTTGGGATTGGCTGAGGTCTTCTCATTTCGGTTTAAGCCCATCTTTCCATATAGTTGCATGCTTCACATGTTGCATTTGTGTGTTGTTGCATGCTTGCATTATACCATGTTTGTGTGTTTATTATATTGCATGTCATTTAACTAGTTGCATCACATAACCTTATTGCATACGTGGTTTGTTTGTGTTACATTAGCTTAATTTTCATGTTTAGGTTGCATTGCATTTGGCATGCTTTGCTAACTTAGCCTCATATTGCATACATGAGCCATTTTGCGCATTTGAGCCATATTGCATACATGCATTGCATTGTGTTTGGTTTGGGGTGTCAAACCAAACATGAGGTATGAGGTGTGTTCATACTTAAAGTAACGAAACACGTCTCAATCCTCGGTCGCCGACACTCTTGATCTCAACATGATAGAGTTTCTAGGCTTTCATATGTTTTGTTGCATTCATTTTACATTAATATGCACCTTTGACACTTTGGCATCACATTGAAATGCGTGATTGGTGGCTCGAGGGTCGAGAGCCATACTCCCTTGAGTTCATAGCATCATAGGGAGGGTGGTTGTGCATACATTTGGCTTGCAAATTCCATGCCATGCACTGTCTGTCCTCTGTCGCAGCAAAACCAGTATTCTGCAGGAAGAAATGGCCGGTCGGCAACTTTCAGTGCCGGCCGACCACAAAAGTCTAGCCGATGGGCCAACTTCTGGTCGGTGACCATATTTCCATAGCCGGTGGTCCGTTATCTTGGCCGATGATATCCCATAATGATCAGGGAGTAAGTTAGAAGCATCCCAAGAATTTTCACAATTATCAGAGGTGCAGAACAATGCAAACAGAGGCAATAGAAGCATGGCAACGAGTTTCCGAGCAAGGCAAATCGAGCATGCATCATCCAATCATTTCGAGGCGAAGTTGCGGCGGCCTTTTGAAATTCATACTTAGTTTATTTTGTACTTAATTTGTTAATTAATTAAGGGTCTGTAATAATTAATTAGCTAGAGTAGTTAATTATTTATTGGGTTTGTATTATTCTTTCGGACCCTCTGTCGAGAGGGCGAATTTGTAGTAAGTGTGCGTGCGTGTGTGAATGTCTTCCAACCCCATGTCTTTCTCTCTTTTATTTACTAGCTTTTGATGGTTAGTTTAGGATATGTTTCAAATTAAGCATACTTATGCTCACCTGTTTGCATCCATTCATCTGTCTTGCATGCACCGGGCTCGGCGCATCATACTAACTGCATTGTATTTCAATTCCAAGTTGAATACATGTTATCTGTTGCGTTTCATATGCCATGTTTAGAATATCCGAGCCTATCTTAGTTACATTTTGCATGTGTTGCATTAGCCATCTTAACATGAACTAGGATCATGCATTGATTACTAACTAGTTTCGGTTTTGGCTTGGAGTACTCGGTGAGTGTTTATGCTTTAGCATCCTTGCATGCGTGTGAGTGACTGCCATGATAGCATGCTTACCATGAGGCTATTTGCTTATGTGATATAACTGCCTGAATGCCTGTGGGTGGAGGTTGGGTTATTTGAATTGGAACAATTCATCGATTGCGAGTTTTAAGCCCACTTGAGAGCGGCAAATCACCATGTTTTTCTAAACCCACTTGAGGGTGGCAAAATCCGCGTCTTAGCCTACTTGTG